CCAACAGGTTTATTTCCCTTTTTCACCCTCACCCCCTTCTCTGCCCACTGCTGGCATATCTCTTTCTAAGCAATTTTATCATCACCTGTGGCTTAAATGATGGCTTATATACACTAATGGCATACATTCTTGGAGCCTTCAATCTATATAGCCAACTGCCTTAGACATTCCTGTTTTTAAGGCCCATAGCCATTTCAAACTTATTAAGTCCCAAGCTGAGCTGAGCATCTTTCTTGTTTTCAAAACTGACTTTTTGTTCTACATTTACTGTTTGTGTATATGGTTAACACATCTATCCATCGAGTTGGCCAGATACGTGAGAGAAGCCAGCTTGTTCCTCACCTCCGACTCCTCTGGCTCCAGATCCTATTGACTTGGTCCCATCATTCCAATCGATCCATTTGTCTCTTTCTCTAATACTGTTGAATATAGACCTTTTGGCTCCCTTTTCTGGATTATCTCAGTCATTTCCAGACTGTTCTTCCTGCTGGCCTCCGTCTCCCTCTTTCAGCCTAAAGATTTGATATTGCTTTTTTCCCCCTTTGTCATTGTTATTCATTTATGTCTTTTTTTCCTTCAGTGTCTTTTTCAAACTAAAAAGTAGTATACTCTTATTGTAAAATAGCAAATCACTTATAAGGCTGTAGAGAAAAGGTTAAAGTTACCCTGATCTAGTCCTCAAATCTTACTCCCAAATACACTTGCATTTCTTCTACTTCAACTTTTTTTTTTATCTAAAGGTTTTATAGGTTTTTCTTTCTATTTTTGGCTATACTGTGCAGCATGTGGGATCTTAGTTCCCCAAGCAGGGATCAAATCCACATCCCCTGCAGTGGAAGTGCAGATTCTTAACCAGTGGACCACCAGGGAAATCCTTCTTCTACTTTAAGAGGCACATTTTTTCCCCTTATATTTTAACATCTCTGAAATCAAACTGTATCATACAGTCAGTGATGTCTGAGATTTGATTAAATACATTATTGCTCTGCAATGTGCTATTTTTACTCATTAATATGGGTCAGGATTCCAAACCAGCACTTATCTCCAGGACAATCTTTCTAAACATCAAATCTGGTTGGGTCACTATCCTCCCCCAAATTCTTCAAAGTTTCCCCTCCTCACCCCACCTCCACTTCCGAGGCCCCTCATCATCTGACTCTCTCCTACTTTTGCAAGTTTTGTTTCCAGCACATCTTCACACATCCTCTTCCTTAAAAGTATATCTATTTGCAGTTAGTTCCCCAAATAGACTGCTGAGCCAGATCTTGGTGCTTTTGCGCCTGTGTTTCCTCTGCTTCTTCCTCACCTCTTCTACTCCAAGTTGCCTCTTGTTGGAAAACTGTCCCCAGTCCCCCGCAAGCTAAGCCTGGGTTCTTTCTTTACGTACTCTCAGTTTCTCCAGCATCAGATGCATGTCTTTGTTAAGTTACTTAACACACAGGTTTAAGCCTCTTCTCTTACTGTTGCTTCCATAAATCATTAGCTCTCAAGTACATGTTCTTCTTTATACTCATTTCCAGCAGTGCCAGGGCAACAAAAAGTGTTAGTTGCTAGGTTGTGTCTAGTCTGTGCAACCCCATGGACTGCCCATGCCAGGCTCCTCTGTCTAAGGGATTCTCCAGGCAAGAATACTGGAGTGGGTTGCCATGCCCTTCTCCGGGGGATCTTCCTGACCCAGAGATCGAACGTGGGTCTTCTGCTTTGCAGGCAGATTCTTTACAGTGTGAGCCGCCAGAGAAGGCCTCTGAGCCACTAGGGCAGCCCAACATGACGCCCCAAAAATATTTCTAGAAATAATGAACTGTATATGAGGGAAGCATAAAAATGCTCCCTGAGATGTGGTGAAGAGCATTCTTATAGACAATCACCTTAACCTGGGACAAGAGAGAAAAAGGAGGCGAGAAGGGGGACTTCCCTGGTGGTCCAGGGGCTAGGACTCCATGCTCCCAATGCAGAGCGATCCCACATGCCTCAACTAAGAGTTTGCATGCCACAAATAAATAAGTAAATATTAAAAAAAAAAAGAGAAAAGAGCGAGGAGAGAAAGTCTGGACACTAAACCACCTGGGCACCCAGAAAGCTAAATAATGGGGTTTTTCTTCCTTCCCCCCATTTTCTACTCCTCCAGACCTAATTCCACCCTCAACTAAAGACAATCTGATTTCAACAACCATGACTTTGATGACCCCTTCCTTTCTTTCTAGCCTAAGTGCTTCAAGTTCAAATCTCTATGTCATCACCCTCTCTTGCCACAAGTACCCTATCCAGTTTCAAAAAGTACTAAAGGGGGATTCTTTCCACTTGCCACTCTTCAATGCCCATCTGACTTTTCCGTTTGGCTCCCCTCCTGTCCCAGGTGTGGATACACCTGGCAGGTCCATCAAGATTCCACCAGAAAAAAAAAAATGAAAAGAAGCTAAAGTTTAAAACAAAACCTTTATTTTAATAACTATTCTAAAGGCTTGAATATCTGGGCTTCCCTGATAGCTCAGTTGGTAAAGAATACGCCTGCAATGCAGGAGACCTCAATTCGATTCCTGGGTCGGGAAGATCCGCTGGAGAGGGGGATAGGCTACCCCTCCAGTATACTTGGGATTCCCTTGTGGCTCAGCTGGTAAAGAGTCTGCCTGCAATGTGGTAGACCTGGGTTTGATCCCTGGGTTGGGAAGATCCCCTGGAGAAGGGAATGGCTACCCACTCTAGTATTCTGGCCTGGAGAATCCCCATGGACAGAGGAGCCTGGCGGGCTACAGTCCATGGGGTCACAAAGAGTCAGACACAACTGAGTAACTTTCACTTTCAAAAGCTTGATATTAATTAGCCTCCAACTAATAAAAATAAATGGAAAAAAAAAAAGCTTGATATTAATGTGGAGACCTCAGTGGGAAACACTTACCCCCTCTTAACCCTGGTTTGGGTTCAGATTCAAGAAAATGCCAAAAATAGACAAAAATGTTTCCCCATTCTTCTTTCTGACCTAAATAATTTAAAGCCAAGGATTCCAATTCATTCATGGAAAAGTACCAGGGTATGTTGGCGACTTAAACCAAGCTCAGCTAATGTGACCTATGTGTCAGTCAGTAAAACTGGCCCATGCTAACACAAGTTGACAATTGTCAGGCCAAGATACTTTCAATACCTTCCCTCAGCAAAAAGGACAGGGGCTCATGAAACAATGAAAAATAGTAGAGCAAAAGAAGAAAAAGTGGAAAGATGAGGGGAGTTCAAGAAGGAAGACTGACACTGACATGGAGGAGAAAATAGGAAATACGGCCAACAGAGGATATAAAAAATTAGCATATTTGCTATTACAGTTGGGGTGAGGATAAACAGTCACAACAGAAGGAAATAAGAAGGCAGCTAAAGAAAAGAATGGGAGAGGGCGGGGAATCAGATCGGTAAGTAGATAAAACAAGAAAAGTATTTGGGGCCTGTGTATAGACTAATAAAGAAACAGAACAGGACCAGAAGGATTATTTTTGGATGAACATGTGGACAGGTAAAATGTAGAAGAAGCAACTGTTAGGAAACATGCTGTAATTCTACTGTCTTGAAGAGGCCAAGATTTTCATACTAGAGTCTGTCAAACTGTAGTCTATAAATGGAACTTCTCTGGTGGCTCACTGGTAAAGAATCTGCCAATGCAGGAAATGCAGATTCTACCCCTGGGTCAGGAAGATCCCTTGAAGAAGGAAATGGCAACCCACTCCAGTATTCTTGCCTGGAGAATCCCCATGGACAGAGGAGCCTTGTGGGCTACAGTCCCTGGGTCGGTCGCAAAGAGTTGGACACGATTTAACCACCACAAAGGCACACAGGCAGTCTACAAGTGCATGTGGAATTAGGCAGTTTACAGCCCCTCAGTGGAGAATGACAGTCAAGCTGAAAGCTGGGAACAACTTGGTCGAATCCAGCCAGCCTGTACTGCTTTCACATTCTGAATGCCTGGAGGAAATGTGACATTTGGAGGGAACCAACTTCACCACTTAAGCCAACACAAAAGAGACTGTACAAATCTCTTCTGTTCATAAATTTTAGAGTAAATAAGAGCAAATTCACACATCAAATTTGATTTTTTCAGCAGCTTTGCGTGAGATTACTAGGAAGGAAAAAGTCCTTCCTGTAACCAACCTGTAACCTTCAGAGTGATTTCTCTTTTCAGTACAGACTTTGGCGTATTGGGACCCTTAGGAGCCAACGTCCGGAGGAGTCGCCCTAGGGGTTATCCCGAGATCCAGATGGGCTTGCTTTGGATGCGAAATTTGTCCCCCACCCCACCCCCCGCACCTCGATGATGCTGCCTCCGGGTATCTGAAATTACTAGCCTACAGCATTAAGTAATGTGTGTTTGGAGAGACCGCAAGACGCTGGTTAATTTGCACCTTTTTCCCCACCCAGCGACTTCAGCCCGGGCTTAACGCTGAGAAAGGAGCCAGCGAAAACAGCTCTCCTATTGTTTTCGTTTCCTACGTGGCCGAAACCCAGAGGAGTGGCGGGTCGCCTACCTGCCTTCCATGCCCCGGGCCGGGAGCGGCTGCGCGGCTCGCCGGCCACCTCACCTATGGCACTTTCTTCCCGGTTCGGACCCGCCTGACTCATCGGGGATGGGTGGCAGGGGTGGGGGAGACCTCACAGGGCGGAGGGACAGGAGGAGGCGGGCCGGGCCCTTCCCCCAGAGCCGGGGAGGAGGCGTTGCCGGGGCGCAGGTGAAGCCGGCTCCGGCCGATCCCGGGAACTTTCGCCGCGGGGATTCGCGGCGCGCAGGGCCGGCCCAGGGAGCCGCCTTCTCCCACCTGGGCGGCGCGCGGGGCCTGTGGCCTGGGGGAGCCCTCCAGCCTCTCGGCACGTTCTGGGTCTGCCTGCAGGCCGCGGCTGATGGAGGCGGGTGGCGCCACTCTGGGCGCAGGTGACACACGCCAGGCCGGGGTTTCCGCCGGCGCGGGAGAGCGCCGGGAGGGCGAGACGCAGACACCTCGGGGCCGGGGGACGACGGGGCCGCGATGGCCCGGGAGCTGAGCCAGGAAGCGCTCCTGGACTTCCTGTGCCAGGCCGGGGGCCGGGTGACCAACGCCGCCTTGCTGAGCCACTTCAAGAGCTTCCTCCGCGACCCCGACGCGCCCCCCGGGCAGCAGCAGCGCCGCCGCGAGCTTTTCAAGGGTTTCGTCAACTCGGTCGCCGCAGTGCGCCAGGACCCCGACGGCACCAAGTTCGTGGTGCTCAAGAGGAGGTACCGGGACCTTGTGGGGGAGGAGGAGGGGCTGCGGCGACCCCGCGACCCGCCCGCGGCCGCCGCCCCTGCAGGGGGAGCTGCGCCCCGCTCCCCGCTCCCCGCGCGCCGAGGGGAGCAGCCGCCGCAACCGCAGCCGGGGAGGCGGATCCGGCGCGAGGAGGCGCCAGCAGGTGCCGCAGCCCCGGTCGCCGACGCAGGTTGCAATGGACTCCCCGCGGGCGGCGCCCGGGAGGTGGCGCGGGGAGGCGGCAGGCCGAGGGGCCGCTCCGGACATCGGGCGCCGGTGCCCGCGGCCGCGGTGGCCGCGGCTGCTCAGGACCGAGCCAGGTGCGCGGCGGCGGAGACGCAGGGCCGCTGCTGCTGGGAATGCCTCCAGAACGGCCTGGGGGGGCTCCCGGACCCTGCCAGCGCCAGCGCCGCGGAGAAGCCGGCCCAGGACGACCGCGGGGCTCCCAGGCCGCAGCGGGAAGGGGCGCCCGCGGAGCCCCCGCCAGGGCCTGCCGCGCCCCGCTCGCCTCCTGCCGCCGTCGAGGCTGCTGCAGCGCCCGCTGTCTTGTCCAGCCCCAGTCCCCCAGGAGATCCGCCCGCGCCGGTGACCCCGGGCCCCGTGCTCTACTCCACTCTGCAGCAGCAGCAGCAGCGCACTCGCGAGTGGGTAGCCAGACACCCCCAGGTACCCGAGGCCCGGGACCACGGCCCCGTCCGAGCCTGGTCGGTGCTGCCAGACGACTTCGCTCGGCTGCCCTCGGAGCAGGGCTCCTGGGTCCAGGAATCTGAGTCAGCGCCCCTGGACCCCCCTCCTCCCTCTCAGTCTCTCGTCGCTCCCACTGTTTCGGAAGCCTGGTCCGGGGATTCTCCGCTGGCAGTCTTTCGTAGCATTCGATGTCAGCTGTCCCTCCAGGACTTGGAGGACTTCGTGGAACAGGAGAGCCACGGCAGTGAGGAGAGCAGCAGCGGCCCCAAAGAGTCCCCTGGAGGTTCCGAAGACGGGCTGCGTCTGGCCCTGGGAGCCCCAGATGGGAGAAGGCTCAGGAATCCAGCTGGGGCCCCTTCTCCGAAGGAGGCCAGGCCCACCAGGAGCCCCCAGGGCCTCAGGAATGTAGGAGATGCTCACATCTCTCAGCCGATCTCCACAGGAGCTGACGGTCCTGCAGGCGACCCCCAACCTTTATCCTGGCCAGCTCCCAAACTAAGGAGATCCCGAAGGAGAAGCTCTAGGGCGGGGAGAGCCAGATTGTCCTCCTCTGAGGAAGAGTGCCTTGAGGAGGATTTGCTGAAAAGGAGCCGCCGCCCTCCCCGGGCCAGGAAACCCTCCAGAGTGGGAGCCATGTCCAGCCCAAGGGCGGATGCTGCATTGACACTAGCAAATGCAGGCGTTAAGGCTGACACCTCCGAGCGGGATCATCCACGCAGCTGGTGGGCCCCTGGAGGGGACAGGCCCACAGCCTTGGTCCCCCACAGATCTTCCGAGCACAAGTCATCCCTCGTCCCCCTTGATGCCAGGGAGCATGAATGGATCGTGAAGCTGGCCAGTGGCTCTTGGATTCGGGTGTTGAGTTTGTTCTGGGAGGACCCCCAGCTGGCTTTGCACAAAGACTTCTTGACCGGGTACACTGCCCTGCACTGGATAGCCAAACACGGTGCCCTCAGGGCCCTTCAGGACTTGGTCTCAAGTGCACAGAAAGCAGGGGTTGCTCTTGATGTGAATGTGAAGTCCAGCTGTGGGTACACCCCGCTGCACCTTGCGGCCATTCACGGCCACCAGGGGATCATCAAATTGCTTGTGCAAAGGCTGGCATCTCGTGTAAACGTCCGAGACAGCAGTGGGAAGAAGCCTTGGCAGTATCTGACCAGTAATACCTCTGGGGAAATATGGCAGCTACTTGAAGCCCCACGGGGCAAGCCCATTTTCCCCGCCTATTCGTTGGTTCGTAGCTCTTCCCCCACCAGGAAGGCCAAGAGCCAGGAAGTATCTCGACATGTCACCCGAAAGACTTCCTTAGCTGCACTCCTCAAAGGTCAGCACGCCAAATGGAAGCTGGCCAACCAGTATGAGAAATGCCCCAATCTGAGGGAAAGAGAAGAGGACAGTGACTGAGGGGAGCCCCTGTCTCCAGCATGGCCTCCACACCCCCATCCTTGAGCTAGTCAGTGAGAGAATCCGGGGAGAGAGGGGAAATTGCCAAGAAGTTGGTTGCGAGGTCAAGTGAGATGGCCTGCTTGTTTACCTCCGTGGATTCTGTGTCAGCGCATCCTGGGCCTTCAAGGTCATCCAAGCTTTCTAACGGTGAATGTAGACAAGAGTCAGGAGCCTAAACCTGGGTGTTCTTCCCCTTCCTTTGCCACCTGGGCACAGGTGGCCACGCCATTCTCCCAAGCAGCTACCCCAGGCCTTGACTAGAGAGGGAACAGATGTCTAACAAGAAGAGAGGCAATTCAAGGAACTGAGAAGGTTCAAACAAAATCCTCTCTCTGGCTAGGAGCTCTCTGGCTTCCATTCATTTGGAGAATAAATCTTGGCTGAGGAAAAGCACCAGGTTTGAAATCAGATGGCTCCTCTTTTTTCCTCTCTCTCTCTCTCTTTTTTTTTTTGCATTCAGATTGGTGCAATAAAATTATTACTGGAAAGTAGAAGTTGCGCTAAGAGATTCATCTACCCCATCCTCAGGTTTTCCTTTGAATGCAACCTTTGGTGGCCAGTGCAAGAAAAGATTCATTAATCTTTTCAGAGAAGCAGTTGGGTAAGATCCATTTGTGACTGACATTCAGGCCCTGCTTTAAAAAAAAAAATTCAAAACCAAGGGGAAGTTTCCAAATGTAAAAACTGTATGGCTCATTTGCATAGTGACTGAAACCATCTTTTATGGAAATTCCTTCTGTGACAAATGGCAGAATTAGCATTAGTTTTTAGTGGGTCTGAATGGCCAATATTCATACTCATGAAAAGAGAAATGATTTTGTTCTGGAGATGCAATAAGGGTTGTGAGGTGAATGCATCTCCACCAGGAATTCTCTAAGCTGCTAAATATAATTTTATTTGTACTAAACTTGTTGCCAATTAAGATTAAATATTAGCCTTGAGTTAGTGCTGTGTCTCTAATGGAAAGTGCTCTTTTTATTTGTGATGAGACTGATCTCTGTGAATCCATGGAATAAGAGAATGGCTAGTTAATAAACTGCAGTAGGACATCAAGATTTCAGAATGTCAATTCAAAGAGTGCTGCAAGATTAAGTGTCCAAATCGAAATAGTTAATTTTTTATGGAGATATTTTTATGTGCTGGGGCAATGTTGTTGTATTTTTAACGTACTTTTGTGTTTCTTCTGGCTTCCCCCACCTATTAAAATGTCAACAGATATTTGTAGTTTATTGTTCTTATGCTGATTACTGTTAACTTTCTTCTTTACAAAATTGTGTCTCAGTGAATGTCAAATATTTTTGTTTCTTTGTAGTTTTACTTTATAATTTTGCTGAAATAAATATCTTTCTGCTCTATTAGAAAACAAACAAAAACAGGCAGAATAAATCTAAGGATTACTTTTCTCCAAAAAGGCCTATACTAGGGATGAAACTTTAGCAAATCAAATCAAGAAAGCTATAGGTGCAGATGGTAGGTATATGGTTAGGAGAAATGAAATTTTAAAAAATAAAAGATAAACATTTATGTGACTACCTTAGTAAACCCGGTGATCTCCAAGGGTGGAAAAATCACAAAAATGTCAACTTCTTTTAAAAGTCAAGGAAATGTTTTTATTTTACCATGTTGTTATTACAATGTCAATTTATTCAGCAAGTATGTTTTCCTTAGTGCTGTGGGATTTATAAAGATGAGTGGGACAGGACTTCTCCCCTCTTGAACTTAAAAATCTAACAAGAATATTTGCTGATTGATTTATACCATACCTTTCTCCCAAAGTATCTTTTTAAAGTTGCATTATATTAGGTATAAGCTTTTGAAATGAGACAAAGGGAAAAACAAAAAGATGCTACCAACAATGAGGACAAAACCACTGCAATGCAAGAAGAAATTTTTCTTTCAAAGTTTCCTAAGTACAAAATTAAGTGCTCCAGAGGATTTCTGAGGAGAGAGTCCTTTGGGCTAAGAAAATCAGGGTGGGCTGCTGGAAGGCCAGGCATCTTTAGGTGAATGATCTTGGCTTTCCACAGAAACCAGCTGTGTTGGTTCTACCACATTCTTGACTGGCTGCCACGTGTGATTTCATAGCACAGCACTGACTGATTGCTCAATGGTTAGAACACAGTCCCAGGTTCATTCTTACGAGGATCCATCAGGTCCGTCTGTCCACATATCACACCTCTGATCAACTTTCTGACGTGGTTAACATGTATTTGGGGAGAGGGTGGGGCAGAAGAGGGTTTTGAGAGCAGAGTAAAGCACAGACCTGATGGAGTCACTGTTTTGCTCAAAGCACAGACTAGGAGGGCCGCCCGAGCCAATCTCCTACCAGCCTCTCCCTTCCACCATCCCACACTGACGCCTCACCACAACTATCAGAGTGCAAATGCCCTTACCCTCAAAGTTTCCGTCCTGGTGCTGAATTCGTTCAGCTTAGAATTCCTTTTGCTCCTTTCCTGGAGATATTGTATGTTTCAGAGGACAGCTCAGAGGTCGTCGCCTCCATGAAGGCAACGCTTAGGGATGTATTTGGGGGACACTTAGCTGCTCATGACTGTGGGGGGTATGTGGCATCATCTGCGTGGCAGCCTGAGGTGCTGTGGACTGAGCTGAGGATGGAAATGGAATTTAAGGTCAAGATGGAAAAGATCTTTTATGATGTGTGTGTATGTGTGCTTAGTCGCTCAGTCGTGTCCCAGCCTGTGACCCTTTGGACTGCAGCCCACCAGACTCCTCTCTGTCCATGGAGTGTTTCAGGCATGAATACTAGGGTGGGTTGCTATTTCCTCCTCCAGGGAATCTTCCCAACCCCGGGATTGAACCCAGGTCTCCTGCATTGCAGGCAGATTCTTTATTCACTGAGCCATCAGGCTTCCCCGATTTTATATGTCAAGACAAATAGTCATTTTAGAGAATTCCCTGATAGTTCAGCAGCTGAAACTCCATGTTCCCAATGCAGGGGGCCCAGGTTAGATCCCTGGTTGGGAACTAGACTCCACAAGCCACAACTAGAGATCTCACATGCCACAGCTAGAGATTCCCACATGCCACAACTAGAGATTCCCACATGCCACAACTAAGACCTGGAGCAGCCAAATAAGTAAATAAATAACTCTTTAAAAAAAAAAGCCTATTAAAGAGAAAAAGAAAAATAGGCATTTTCCAGAAAGCCAAGGATTGTCCCATCTCCTCCAGAAAACCTTAGTGTAATTCCAAGTATGGAAACTTTCCTAATGTCTTAATCTGAAAGCAAATAAGTAGAGACATAAATTGAAGTACTGTATAGGATGTACTCAATTTTGAAGTTTCCCTTTCAGATTTTCCTTGCCTTTGATGTTAACGCTGCTTTGCTGGCAAATAGGGGTAGGCAATAAAATAATTTAGCAAATAAAAGTTTATTATTAGAGGCAAACATTAGAAACTGGTGATAATTTTAGCTCAACCACTTGCTCTTTTGTAGATAAAACTGTAAAGTCGTGAGTTTTATATGTAATGTCTACTATACTGTTATCTTCTGCTAGCAAAACTGCTTTTGGTTCAACATTTCAGGATGTTCCACACAGCATGCCATGACTTCCAGAGGATTTGATTTTCTTAATACATTTTTAAAGTAACAACTTTGGTCTATATTTAATAGTTCACATACCATACAATTCACCTAATTAGAGTACACAGTTCAGTGGTTTTGAGTGTGTTCACAGAGTTGTACAAAAATTAGCACAATAAATTCCTGTATATGTTTCAGAACTGCCGACCCAGGGAATGAGGAGCCACTGACAGTTTAATGTAGACACTTATAGAGTGGGGTAAAAAAAAAATAAGATTCCCCTTGCTGCAGCCAAGGAGACCAACTAGAAGCAGAGATGAGTTAAGCCATTGTAGTGTTTTAGTTCCATATCGGAAATAGGATTGTTGACTCCATCAGCTGGATGAGGTGAATGAGTTTGAACGTCGAAGATGAGGAAAGAAAATTTTAGTTGGAGGGGCTGCCTTAGTTGATTAAAATCAGAAAAAATTAGGTAGGCTCCAAAAGGATCTCTCCATTTCCTCTCATCTCAATGCCCTAGTTCAGTGAGTAGACCTCTTCATTCCTGTGATGATGGTCTAGGTTCAGGTTGGCACTGACCTAAGAGTATAAATTCAGTCTCTATAGGCTGTTATAGCACTGCAGTATTAGTGTGTGTGCTTCTGTTTGCTGACATCAAACAAACAATTAAAAATGTGTGATGAAAGGGTAGATTGTGTAGTATTTAGGGTCGTGGCAATGAGCTAGGGTGCCTGGGTTCCTGTTCTGGCTTGGACAACCTTCAACTTCTTGCTTTTCTCATTTTTAAGATTTTTTTTTTTTTAAATTATTTAAAGATCAAGTGAGTGAACACAAAGTCTTTAGAAAATGTCTGGTACATGGTAAATCCTCAATAAATGTTAGCTATTATTATTTTAAACACCGTTCAAAATATACAGTTCACTTAAATTTTCCATCTATGCTAAAGACAAAGAATTCTCTAGTTGATTAAAAAGGTGCTACAAGAATAAGATTTACTGATAAAATCAGACACTTTTCCTTGTTTCAGATATAAAAAGAGCTTTTATGTCTCATTTCAAATGAAAAAGACCGTTCAACTATCTCTTGTGTGTAACAATCATGAGCTATTATGGTATGTCATTAAACAAAATTAGGTTTTAATTGAAGTCATGTAAACTATTATTAGCACCAGTCAAATTAGCAGCTCTGCTTTAGTCTGGAATAGAAATCCAGGCAGAGGTCTGAAGGGGTGGGGCTTATGGGGAGTCAAGTGTGTGTCTATGTAAAGCTACCATCACTCAGGAAATCTGAAATATCTAAATTCAACCATGCAGTAAACTTTACCAAAATTCCACTAACTTGGTCAAGATGGAGTCTCACTGATTTGAATTAAAAATTATTGATGTATTGAAATATTCTTCCTCTTTACTCTAGCACTTCTTGCTTCCTAGCTCCCAAGTTGGCCTCCTCTTTTCTACTTTTAAGACTTTTCTTAAAGGCATTACTGTATGTCAATTATGCCTCAAATAAGGAAATGATAGGACAAATAAGGAGAAAGATATTTTTGAAGTTACATGTTGGCATCAAAGCCAGAATTCTGTTTTTAGAGGGTCTAATTCTTCCATGTATTCTATTTCTCCTTTTGAAAAGAATGAAGAGACAGTCACTCAGTGTCTCACTCTTTGCAACACTCTACACAGTCCATGAAATTTTCCAGGCCAGAATACTGGAGTGGGTAGCCTGTCCCTTTTCCAGCAGATCTTCCCATCCCAGGAATCGGACCAGGATCTCCTGCACTGCAGGTGGATTCTTTGCCCACTGAGCTACCAGGGAAGAGTGAATATTCCCAAACCTAGCAGCTATTAATAGGTATTTTAATGCCATCACACTTTCTGAAGCCATAACTGTTACTCTTACAGAACTTTATTAATTTAAATAAAACCAATTCAGTTTATATTCTCACACCATAAGATTTATTGTTTTTGTTTGAAATGTATCCAAGATTCTTAATGAAGGAAGGCATCTGCATGAAGCAGCTGACCAAGTGACCATGAAAAGTAATCCTAGGAGCGATCTGTGACCCTTTGAGAAAAGGATTAGTTCTCCAAACACAGGACACAGACCGACGTTGTATCAGGTGCCACCTCACCATAGCTCTATGTCCTTTATGTGCGTGTCCCCTTACACGTTCTGTGGTCTCTTGGGTCCAGGTGTTTTCCTGCTAAAAGCTTCTTTAAGACCACCTGGAAAAGCAGAGTGAAAGGACAGGTGGACTAGCATCACCTGGCAAGCTCGGATCATGGGCACAGGACTGTTTTTATTCTACCAGAGTTAACGTTTTCTCTTTATTGTGGTAAGCATCTGACTCAAATTCCACTTTGAAGATACTTCCTCAGGTTCAAAATTCCTTATGTCTTTATTTTCTATGAGTTAAGAAAATCCTTATCCTTTATAAATTTAAAGCCACAGCATCCAGATACTGGCTTATGATGGAAATTGGATTTGCAGTAATGAACTGTTTGGTGTTCCTTAAAAAACAAAACAAAACCACAATAGGAAGTTTACATAAACATTGTTACATTTTGTGATGTGGCAAGGTACCACAATACTCCCATTATCTGGTAGGTATGGGAAATGGATTGCTTTGAATAATAAATTATTCTATTTCATAAGAATTTCTCACATGTATTTCACATAATTAATAGTTTAAGAAAATTGAACTACAATTAAATACACTCAACACTAAAACTGAACACAAAGTAATTTATGGTTTCAAAAAGTCATACAAGATCCATAATGCTTTGTGATTATTACTATAAATATCAATTATCTTTGCATTTAAATACACAGAACTAAAGT